GGCGGGGCGGGGGCGGGGCCGGGGCCGGGATACTGAGGGGCGGGCCGTGGCCTCACCTCCAGCCGGAGTGGTTGGCCATGGCGGCCACGCTCCAGCCCGAGCGGAAGATGGTGGCGGCGCGGCTGAAGCACTCGTTGTAGATGAAGCCGGTGTAGACAGAGAACAGCCCCATGAGCAGGAGCAGGTAGCGCCCCCCGAAGAAGGTCCGCCAGATCTGAGGGTGCGGCGCCATGAGGAACTGTCCGGCCCCGCCACCCCACCCTGCGGGACCCCGACCCGGGCCCTCACCTCGTTCTGCGCGGCCTTCACCGCTGGTTGGTCCTCAGCGAGCACCATGGCTAGCGCGAAGAGGAACATGAGCAGCCCGTGGCCCACGTCGCCAAACATCACAGCGAAGAGGAAAGGGAAGGTGATGATGGTGTAGGGCGCTGGGGGCAGAGGGGGCGCGGTCAGCCAGGGCCCCCACGATGCAGGCTATGCCATGTGGACGCCGCGGCGCTCCAAACCCAGGCCTTTGGAGCCCGGGGAAACGCAAAGGTGGTGTTTGCAAGGCGAGGCCACCAGTCTGCCTGCATTTAATGGCCCACCACTTACAAGCTGTGTGAACTTGGGCTAGTTACTTAACCTCTCTGAGCCTCCATTTCCCATCTGTAAAAGGAGCCCTGGTGGTGCAGTGGTTAAGCGCTCGGCTGCTAACCAAAAGGTCAGAGGTTTGAGCCCACCAGTGGCTCTGCGGGAGAAAGTTGCAGCAGTCTGTTTTTGTAAAAAATTACAGTTTTGGAAACCCTATGGAGCAGTTCTACTTGTCATATAGGGTTGTTATGAGTCGGAATAGACTTGACAGCAATGAGTTTGGTTGTGGGTTTTTTTTAATATAGATAATAGTACATACAATAGGATACGTAATAGTAATATAGCCCCTTCATGTTAGCTGCCATGGAATCAGCCCAGTGAAAACCCTGTGGGTCACAATGGTCTGATCCCCAACCGATCACGGGGATGGCACAGAACTAGGCAGCATTTTATTAAGTTGTGCATGGGGTCACCATGAGTCAGAGGCTGTAAAGATTTCAGTGTAGGAAACCGTACAGGCCAGTCCTACTCTGTCAAATGGGGTCACTAGGATTCGGAATCCACTCAGTGGCACACCACAACAACAGCATATTATTATCAACTCTGGATCACGGGTGATCAAGTTTGCTCTCACTGGCTGGGCGTCTGTCAGTGCAGAGGGTTATGGGACAAGAGAAATGGTGCTGGGGCCCCAAGGACCAGCTCGAGCTCCAGGATGCTGGCCCTGAAGAATCAGCAGGTCCCAGAGGACCACATGCACCTGCTCAGGACCCTCGTGGCTTCAGGCTCCACCTTCCCGTCCTGCCTGTACCACTTTGGGGGCCAAGCACCCTGCCTCTTGCCCACTGGGCTCCTTGACCTGTGACTAAGTCCCCTCCTGAGGGGGGCCTCGCCCTGGCTTCACACCTCGCCCCCAGTTCAGGAGGTGTCCCTGAGGGAAACCCCTGCTGGGTGACACTGGGGGCCCTCCACTCATCTGATGGTGTCAGCCACACTGCAGCCAGGCACTGCAGGGGAAAAGGTGTCCAGAGGGAGAAGACCCAGTGGGTGGCAGAGCCAGGCGTCAGAGGTGCTCAGGGGTTCAGAGCGGGGAGGGGAGGGAGGAAGCAGGGACCCCAGGGAGGGAGGTGGGTGGGGGCACCCTCTGGGGACCCACCACCGCCAGTTCTAGCCTGTCGCCGTGTAGGCACCGTGTTGCCAAACCTTTCGGACTTTTGTAAAAACTCAAATTTTCATGTTGGCACCTCTGGTGGACGCGCTGGTGGTCTGCCCAGACTCCTCAGCCTCCTTTGACCCGCTGTGTGCCCCTCCCCCGACTCCTCCTGCTTTATTGATAACAGCTGGGTGGGCCACTTCTAGAAGATTCCCTTGGGCCTGGGAAGATCACCCAAGCTGACATCAGTCATATCCCCCCCAGCACCTCCTCTATCCCACCTAGCCAATGGCCGATGGGTGCAGGGTCTGAAAGCTCCCGAAGGATCAGGCTGAGGCTGGGACTTGACTGGAGACCACCCAGCGCTCAGCTCCTTCCCCCTCTGCCTGCTCCCCTGTCCCTCTCCCCACCCTCCCTGTCACCCCTGCCTGCTCCCCTGTGCCCCCCCGCCTGCTCCCCTGTCCCTCCTGCCTGCTTCCCTGTCTCCCCCTGCCTGCTCCCCTGTCCCCCTCATCCCCCC